TTTTGGAAGATTTACTTCGAGCAAGACTGATCAGAGATATGATCAGAAATAATCGAAGAAACAGGAGCCGAAACAATCGTGCTCCATCATTGCAGAATCGTCAAACAAGAACAAGACCAAGAACTCGAACAACAACAACAACAACAATTACAACAACAACAGAAGAAACAGAATCAACAACAACAACAACAACAACAATAACAACAACAACAACAACAACTACAGATACAACAACAGAAGCAAACAACGTTTGAAAGAATTTGAATATGTTTGAATATGTTTAAATAAATTCTTTTTATTCTTTTAATTTTGTTTTTTGTTTTTTTTTGTTATTTGAAATTGGAATGATTAAAAAGTTATCAGGATGATCAGTTCCTAAACGCTGTCATCATGGTTCTTGTCTTAGTTAACAATTCATGATCAAGGATCTTGTGAGCCACAGCCAAAATGCCCTACAAAATTTTAATCACATTCCAACGTAAATTCTATTATGATGCTTGTTCTTTGCGTCTCCCCTCACATGTTAATCATTCTCCTTCTTTACCACCATGGAAATCAATTTTTCAAATCAATTTAGCAAAAAAAGTTCCTTAGCTACCAACGAAATTCAGTTGATTATGAAATTGTGATTATTATGAAACGTCAAGGGCCTGGTGGCCGACCATTTTATTTGAACTTGATAAGCAGAATTTACCCTGTGATTTGATCAAAATTATGAAATGTCAAAAAATCATCTATTAAAGTTATAACTGTTCGCTAAGAATGAATGAATATAATTATTGAATCAAATTTAATTTATTTAAATAATAAATTAATAAAATTAATAATTATACAAATTTCATATATAAATGTTTGAACAAACCATGATTTTAAATTCATATTTACTCTCCAACAGGCAAAATAAAAAGCCAAAATGGAAAGCAAACGAGAACGTATTATAAAATGGATCGAAGATGTAAACGCAAAGAGGCAATATAGAATCCTAAGGGGCAGGCATTACCGCCCCGAAATTGATTCACCGGTAACAACAACTACAACACCGGCAACAACAACAACAACGACAGCAACAACAACAACAACCACAACAACCAGATCAGATAATATTAGCAATATTGTACATTTTACAATATTTAAAAAATTTGAATAAATAAAAATGGTTGAATAAAATGATTTTATCATTAAATTGTTTCCTTTGTTTTTTTTTGTTTTTGTAAAATGGCCTTCGTGGCAATAAGAGACAATAACATCTTAAAAAACGCATCGCTAACGAATGTACAGTCTTTCAAGCTGAATTACTGGCTATATTATCAGTAGCAGAATGGTACATCGAACAAAATCTTGAATCAAAAATTCAAATTCTTAAGCTACTAATCAAGGCTGACTGTAGCAGGAACACTAACGATAGTCTCGCATTAACAAAAACGTATGCGATGGATTCCATAACGAACAAATGGAAAAAATTATAATAAACTATGGAGTCAAGCTCCTAAAAAAAAGTATAGACATAACGATGTGATCAGGAGGTTTACACCTGATGTTTTGTCAACATTACGGTATCGAAAAAAATTGAAAAATTGAAAAACTACCGGATCGAGATCGTTGTCTTATGTGTGTAAATTGCAATTAATAAAATTATTGAATTCAAGTCAAAGTTTTTCATAATTCATTTTTATATTTTAATCAAATCAAATTTATTTTTTTTTTATAAATTTCAAATTCTTAATATTTTCTTTTTATAAATAATAAAATTAAAAAAAATCAATGAATTTTTGTTTTACGTTTGTTTTTCATTTGGTTTTTTGTTTTTTAAATGAATGATTGAAGCAAGAAAAAAACACTAATAATGTTCATTCAACAACAACAACAACAACAACAACAACAATCACATATTTCATCATTACCAGTATCTGCAAGTGATTCATTTTTCCCGATACCGATTGAATTATTTGATGATCAAATTATTCCGACATTTATATTAGGTTCGGCATGGATATTTAGCTGTTTATCAGTTATATTTTTATTATATGATATAATAACAACATTACTTATACGTATTGTAATCGATTGGAATCGTAAATTTTGGCATTTATCAATCGATTTATTACGAAAAAATCAAATTAATCGTGAAAAAGTGATTGGTAATGAAAATGCATGGACCACCGATTCATCATCATCACCATTATCATCATCCGCAGCAGCAGCAGCAGCAGCAGCACCAGCACCAGAAACAAAAGCAATTTTATTTGGTTGGAATAAATCAATACTACAAACAATACATTTACGTTTGAATATATTGAAAACATTGAATAAAACATTAAAATCAAATCAAAATAATAATAATAAAAAACAATTTGATTCAACAATTGTTGGTCATACATGGCGTACAATATTCTATTTAACTGATGTTTGTTATGATCGTCATATTTGTCGTTTATGTTCAATTGAAAAATATCAATATGATGATAATAGAATACGTCGTAATAATATGCGATCATTATTTGATCGTTCACTTTTGATTGGTAATCATTTTATCTGTACGTTTGTCTGGATAAACATTTTCAGCATTTTTTAATTATGTTTTTCTTGTTTTTCCCACCCCTTTATTAACACATTAACATCAACACTTTAGGTTTAGCCGCCATATTTATGAATTATAATCAAATATTATTCTATATATTTGCAATATTTTATCTATCAATGGCAATACCATTAACATGGATTGAATTATTAGTACGTACATCGGATGATTGGAAAACAATACATTTACGGCATAAATTTTGTGAATATCAACGACTGCAAAAACTAAATAATATCATTATGTTAACAATATCTGCATTGAATTATATAGTTTTTGCAATATTTTTTATGATCTATATTCGTTATGATAGTTTTATACTAAATATGTCTACCGAATTGGTTAGTAATATTTATTGAATCCATGAAATGAATGAATAAAATGAACGTTTTGTTTTTTTTTTTTTGCAAAAAATTCTTTTCTTTTATTTCAATCATTTTTGATTATCAAGAGTCTGAGCGTGTGAAATCTGAGTATTTTTTTGTTTGTTTGTTTGGTTTGTGTACGATTTTCGGAAACGGAAAACTATTGAAGAAAAAAAACATCAGTGAGAATGGTGGATTGCTAAAATCATGTTTGTTTTTGTTTTTTTGGTGAAAACAAAATTCAATGATAATGTTGTTGTTGTGTTAAAGATTGACATGTATGTTATTTTTGTTTTACAATTGGAAATAGATAGATAGATAGAGAGAGAAAAAATATCACAATTTATCCGAGAAGAAAAAAAATATAAAGAATATTCCATTGTTAAAATGTGTTTTGATGATAATTTATCATCAAGAGAGAGAGAGAGAGAGAGAGAGAGAGAGAATTGTTTTTGAATTTTGAAAAATTTTTCAATTTGATATGATGATCTATTGTTTTTTTTTTGTTTTCTGCAAAATGAATCATAATATAGGTAGGCACAATCGATAAACCTTATTTTTGTTTTGTTTTCTGCAATATTACTTTTTTGTGATGATTAGATATTTGATGGTGATGATTGAGTGTGTGTGTGTTGAAATAGAATTGGTTCCAAAATAACTGTGTAAATATATGTTTGTGTGAATTGGTGTTTGTATGTATGTTTTTTTAAAGGAAAAAGAGAGCAAAAATGATAAAGATATTAATAGATTTTGATCGCATTAGAATTGAATGAAAATTGGAAGATAAACAAACAAACAAATAAACAAACAATTAGAAATTGATGACTAATGTTTTTTTTTCTGCTGAAGCATATTATCAGTATTATTGTGGTGTTTTTGTTGTTGTTGATGATAATGATAAATTGTTAATGATTTTTTTGTTTTGGTTTCAATTATTCTTCAGTAATTGTATTCAATTTTTGTTGCTGTTTACGTTGATGATATTCACGCCATACTTTTTGTATAACACTTGCACAATATTCTTCACGTTGTCTCCATAATGTACTGCTAATATGTTCAAATTGACCTAATTTAACTGGTGCAACTTCAGCTAATTCAGCCGTTTCTTCTATTACATGACCTTTACGAGCAAAAAAATCTTTTGTCAATGCATCCAATATATCAACACAATAACACATATCATCCAAACAAATTGGTATATCCATTGATATTAATTTAAATTTGTTTGGTTTAGGTATCTGTAATGGTTCTTCAAGTGCATGTACAAAATCTGATAATTGTGAATATGATATAAATTGTGTTCCTTTTGGATCAAATCTTTGCCATATTTCATAATACATATCATAATCATCATCGGTAAGACCTTCATGTACATCTTCAGCTGCTTGTGAATAATTTTCCAATATAACAGCAATATACATGTTAATAATAATAAGTGATGATATGATTAGATAAGAAACAAGAAAAGCTATTGCAATACCACGATTACCACAATCACCTTCACCATCCGGTCCGGTTGGTGTACAATCATTTTCATCCATAATTGCAGCCAGAACATTATCCCAACCGGCCGATGTTGACATCTGAAACAATAATAAAAATGAACGAAAAAATGTACTAAAATTAAATGTTTCATCAATTCCATAACGTTGTTTAACATTCATAAAGAATGACATTCCAAATATGGCATAAATGAATATTACTAAAAAAAGTAATAAACAAATATTGAATAATGCTGGTAATGACATTGCCAATGCAAACAATAATGTACGAATACCACGTGCACCTTTAACCAAACGTAATACACGACCAACTTTAACAACACGTACAACACGTAATAATGTTGGTGATACAAAATATTTTGTTATTATATCACGTAATAATACGCCCAATATTGATAATATTACAACAACAAAATCAAATATATTCCATGGTTCTTTAAAATAATGCCATCTTAATGCAAATATTTTCAATAAACATTCAGCTGTAAATATTGCTATAAAAAATAGATTCAATCGTTCCAATATTAATGAAAATAATTCACTTTGTCGATATTCATCCAATGCCATAACAAACATATTCAATGCAATAAATAACATAATAAACATATCGAATTTTTTATTCGTTGTTATATCGAATACAATTGCTTGTAATTTAAACTAAAGAATCGAACGGGGGAGAAAAAAAATCAATTTATGATATCAACATTCATTGATTTGAAACACACACATACCCTTGGTCTTGGTATTGCTTTCATCGGTTTTTTTGAACCCATTTTTTTCATTGCATTATAATATTTTTTCTGATCTTCAGTCATAAACATTTCCAATGAACCACCGGCTTTCTTTTTTTGTTCATTAAAATTATCGATAATCACTCCGATAAACAGATTGAGCGTAAAAAATGATCCAAATATTATGAAAAATACAAAATAAAGATACATATAAAGATTCACTTCTTTTTCTGGTTGTTCATTTGGATCTTGTTTTGAATCGATTGCATTGTTCATTATATCTAGCCAACCTTTGAATGTGGCCTTTTTTGAAGAAGAAAAAAAATAAAATTTATCAATTTTGGAACAAAAAATAAACAAAAACCAACAAACATACCACTTGAAATAATGCAAGATAAGCATTTGGAACATGATCAAAATTGATTGGTGGATTATACCAAACAGTATGATTACGTGCTAAACAGGCTTCTTTATTCGGTACATAACTTGCATTTAATTTTATTTTTGTTTCAGCATCAATACATTGATAAAATTTTCCAAGAAATAATTGTACACCCATTATTGAAAATATAAGCCAAAATATTAGACAAACTAATAATACATTAAAAATGGCTGGTATTGCCTGTATTAATGCATTGACAACAACCTATGTTTCGGTTTTGGTTTAGTTTTCAAAACCAATTCAACAGGTGAAAAGGAAGGGAAAAAAATTTAAAAGTTAGCATCAGTGGAAAACAACAAGAATAACAACAAACTCTCCTTGATAATAATAACACATGCATTGAGCTTTGGTGAAAAGAAAAAACATCAGTGGTGTTGAAAAAAACATTCATTTTGTAAACATGCAATTATTATTATTCTTTAAATTATTTGATAAAACAAAATAATTTTTGGAAAGCTGAAATGAAAAAGAAAAAAAAATCAAAAATAAAAACTAAAAAAATAAATCCCTAAAACAACATGCAATAAGTGTTATAATGATAATTATAATGAAAACAGATTTTTTTTGTGATTCTGGTCATCAATAATTTGTTTTATCATTATTATATCATATGGTTGTTTACCCGCATTCCTTGAAATCTGGATAAAGCACGTAATGGTCGCAAAGCTCGTAATGTCCGCATCGTTTTGAAAGCTTGAATTCGGGCCACACCAAACCAAGTGGCAATCAAATTTATGACCGATACCTTTATCATTTTTGTTTTTTTTATCATTAATCATGTTTTATGTTGGAAACAATACAAATTAAGGCAAATGAGAAAATTTTTTTTCAAGAAAATCAATTCAAAACAAAGAAAAAAGGAAGACATTTGGAAGGAATTCGGGAAAAAATACTATTCCTACAATGATCATTGCAACCAACATCATCCCCAAAAACCTCCACCGACATTCGCTAAATAAATAAATCATGCATCCATCTAACCCGTTGTTTGCTATGTTTATGAAAAAAATTTCTATCACCAAAATCTACAAGAAAAAAAATGATAAATAAATCCATAACCCCGTTCTCGTATTGCAGCCCATATATAAATGCAACATTAATGCAACAATTAATAACGATCATAACGTTCAATTTTTTTCCCCAAAAATTAATCAATTAAATCAAACTGCTAATTAAAAAAAAAAATCAATTCTATTCATGATGCATTAGCTTTTTTTTGTTTCAATTCCATTATTCGTCTCTAGTCTTTTAGTTTGTTCATTTTGATTTTTTTTGATTTAGATTTCTGTTGATTGATAGAACTTACACGCATGCCTTCAAGCCTGGAAAGTGCTCGTAAAGGTCTTAATGCCCTTAATGTCCGCATCGTTTTAAATGCCGGTACATTTCCAAGACCGAAAATTCCGACAAATATATTGAATATTGAAACCTTTTTTTGTTTGTTTTTTTTCAATTTTTTCGATAGAAAAATATTGTGATGTTTGTTTTTTTCAAAAGAAAAAGAGAAAAAAAAAGAAAGAGGAAGTAAAACAAAAACAAAAATTCAAAAAATTATTATTTTTTGTTTCGTATGAAACACCTAGCACCATCTATCGTTAACGTTATTAAAGACTATTTTTTTGAAAATTTTTTTTCTGGTTTCTCCAACGTTATTTTTTTTCATTGAAATTATTTCAAATGAATAAGGGTTAAATGTAATTAATAATGGTTAAAATAAGAATGATTTAAGGAAAGGTAGGAAAAAAAGGAATTATTTGATAAGGAAATAATTTTGATAATAATTACCATAACGATGACAAAATCTAACCAACACCAAACATTTGTAAAATAACCGGCAAAACCAAATGCAAGCCATTTGATTAACATTTCACAAATAAAAATAATTGTAAAAAATTTATCCAAATATCCTAAATATTCCATAAATAATGGATCTTTTTTAAAATTTACATCTTCCAGTGCCTTTGAATGAATATGAAAAAAACAAAACAAATCAACATAATTGAATAATTAAAAGAAAATTTCTAAACTTACCAATGCCATACTGCTAATAAGAATTAATGTAATAACAAGTGTTTCAAAATATCTATGTTCAACAAATTTATAACAACGTGTACGAATATCTTTCCAACGTATCCAAAATGGTGTTTCATCTAAACACCATGGACAATATTTATACATTGGTTCGGGAAAACATTCCGATGGATATTCATTAATAATTACATCAGCTGTTGCTGTATCTAATTTATCATCACTAACACTATTATTCATTGATTTATGTCCAGGTGTTATAAATGAAACAATATTATCACATTGACTATCACTTAGATTACTATTTGCTTTTGAATCAAATGATGATGATTGTAGCGGATTTGATGATGGTATTAATGTTTGTTGTTGGTTATTATCATTTTGATGATTTAATTTTGATTGCAATTGTTGCGATTGTGGTGATTGTTGTTGTTGTTGTGCGTTATTATTACTATGACCAATCATTGAATTTACATTCATACTATTGCAAGGTGTAGTCGATGTTACAGTAGATGTTACGGTTGTACGGCCATTAATTTTTGATTCATGTAATAATACCATTTCAAAATCTGCATGTGTCATTTTACCAATATTATTGGCTAATGTTGTTGATTTTTGACCATCAATAAAAAGCATTTCATTTGGTTGATGATGACCATCACCAGTAATCATATCTAAATCATTGAGCATATCATCATTTTTTTGATGATCAAATGTTTGATCACTAATTTGATTACGTGTTTTTGGCAATAAAAGCTATTAAGAACCAAAAAAATAAAGTAATTATATTTTTCAAATAAGTAAAATTATAAACCTTAAATAATTGTATAATTTTCAATCTGATCCATTTAAATGCACGTGCAAAACGTTCAAATGCTTCTTGAAGTTTTTTTGTATCGGCACTTTCGGATGTAGGTGCCGATAAATTTGATGCACCAAATGATGATAGCAATAAAGCTAAAAATAAATTGAGCACAACCAAATAACCAATAATAACAGTGGCAAGAAAAAATGGTACACATGCAGCACCAGAAACACGCATACAATCCCACATTGATTCAATCCATTCACCACATAATACACGAAATACAATCATAAATGAATGCATAAAATCTTTAAAATTCCAACGTGGTATTTCTTTTCCACCAAAACTAGAAAACATCAAAACATCAAAACATTATTATTCCGAAAAATTTTTCCAAACTATTTTCACTTACTTATCTTCGGTATAATTTTTACCAAATAATTGCATACCCATCACAGCAAATATAAATATAATAATACCTAATACGAATGTTAGATTACCAAGATCACCAACCGTTTTACCCATAATCGATATCAATAGATTTAATGTTGGCCATGATTTAGCCAATTTGAATACACGAAGCTATATGAATGAATTTTTCGTTTATTATGAGTGAATTCAGAGACAACAACAAAAAACAAAACAAAAAACAGAATACTTACCAAACGAAATGATCGTAATACGGACAAACCAGAAACCGATGATAAACTAACATCCAATAATGATAGAATAACGATTACAAAATCAAATATATTCCAACCTTCACGAAAATAAAATTTTGGACTTAATGCTATTAATTTTAATGATGCTTCAATAGCAAATATGGCTGTAAAAAACTAGATAAACATTTTTTGTGAAAAAAAAGATAATTAATCATGTTTTTGTTAACAAAAAAAAACTTACAAAATTTCCTTTTTGTAAAATATCATCTAAATCTTTATCCATATTATGATGATCCATTGCCATAAATAATGTATTAACAACAATACATAATGTAATAAATAATTCCATAAATGGATCAAATACAACTGATGCAACCAATTCCTGTACACGTATCCAACACCAAAAACAATCACAAACACATAATATATCCATAAATTTTAAACAACAAATCGAAATACGTTCTTTTAATTTTGGTTTTTCATAATCACTTGAATAATGTGATGATGAATCGGATTGTGAATCGATTAGATCATCACCCGGATAATTTTCAATATCAGCAATATCATAATGATGATGATGATGATATGATTGACTTTCTGTAGGAAAGTAGTATATGGAAACTGTAATGATAATAAGGGAAAAAAATTCGAAGCAAAAAAAAACAAAAACAAAAACAACAATCAATTTTTTTACGATTTTTTAGCTACGTTGACAAACGCAAACACAAACAAACGCAGACACATCAAAAACATTTAAAAAAATTTTGAAATTTTTCAAGGATACAAGGAAAATGTCAAATCTATTTTAAATTTTCATAAAGAATTTTGGATTATTTTAAACAAACAAACAAACAAACATGATGATTGTTTTGGGAAAAGAAAAACTTTTCATAATTTTGATCAAAAAAAAAAACAGTTTTATAAAATGCATTTAAGTTTATTCAACAAAATACCTCTTTCATTTGATTGCGTTGGATAATGATGAAGATGATGTGGATCATTTCTCATAACAGATGCTTGTTCGATTATATTGTTCAATACCATAACGTCTGTAATTGATTTAATATGGAATTTGATAAGTGTTTTTTGTTTATTGAAAGAATATTCATTCATTCATTTACCTTTCATATTGACGTTGGCTGAATTTGGCTTTATATTATTATCATTATCATTATTATTATTAGATGTGATTAGAAAATTATTTACACCAGGTAAAAATGGTTGTAACATTGGCAAATTACTTTGTACATTTGGCGATACAATAGCCGTATTTTTGGCCCATTCATCATTGTAAAATTTTTCCACCTTTATAAAATTTAAAGAGATTAGTTTTTCAAGTGAAAAAAAAACGTCTTTGAAAAAACAAATAACATACATTTGACATACGTCTGGCACGTAAATGATAATTTTTGGCCAATAATGGTGGTAAATTTGTAGCAAAACCTAAACGGCCATAAATATCACCATGTGATGTATAGGATATACGTGATGAATGTGATGTATATGTTGAATTATGTGTAGATGTTGATTCAACATTTTGCATTAATGTATTATTATTATTATTATGACCATTATTATTATTCGTAAAGGCACCATTCGTTGAACAAAACGTTGGCTGATTAGATTCATAATCAAAATTTGATAAACTTAAGGCTTTTGATGGTCGATGATGATGATAATGATGATGATGATGATAAGGTAATCCATCAATATCGGGAAATGGAGGTAGATTCTCATCGGACAATGGTGTCTGTGCTGCACTATCATCGGCAAATGGTAAATCTTTTTGTCCATCAATATATTTATGTACAGCCGATGATGATGTTTTTGATTGTTTTTGTTTACAAAGAAAATTTTCTGAACATTTATGACAATTATCTTGACATTCACAATCACCATCATCATCATCATCATTATCATTATTTAATTTTTGATCAATTTGTTTAAACGGTGATCCAGGTAACGAAAGACTTGTCTAAAGAATATCAATTAAAATGTGAATAATTAGAGAGAGAATGAAAAAAAATTCTTCAAAATTTTTCTACAAACAAAACCTTGACCTATATATAACCTATAGGTCAAATTCTCAATATTCCACTAATGAATATTCTTTAGTTTACTCATTCACTTTTTTTTTGCATATAGTTAATAATAATGATAATTAGTAGTAATAGTCTAAAGATAATTAGTTCTAATTTTCTATAATTTGTAGGTGTGTAAATGGATGAATGAATGTTTTAAAGTATACCGATCTATTCATTCATCTGTATTTCTTAATCGATCGATTTATAAATTATGATGATTATTATTCATTCATCAGTACAGAATGTACTTTTTTTCGAATATAATCTATTGAAGGACAATAATTTGAATCATGTAATATGTAATACGTATGAAACAAAATATTGCTATAGTTACGGTAATCTCTTTTTTATTGTTGTTGTTGCAAAACCTGAATAGAATGAACAAGTGTTTTATAACCAGTAAAAAACAGAATATAACAGAATCGTTATTATTAACATAACAGACGAATATGAAAGAATTATTTGATATTTTCATTTGGTTTTACTTATTAATTAATAATAATATAATTTATATTCTAAGTCAGTTGATTTGACCAGAATTTTTTTTCTTTTCATTCGACCAACCGATCGAAAGAGACTTTTTTTGTTGTGAAATAAAAATAAAAAATACTTTTACCTTACGAATTGTTAATGATTTGTCATTATTCAATGTCAATGAATCTGGTGGTTTTTTTCTTCGTTTTGTTGTTGTTTGTTGTTGATCAGTTAATTGTTGTTGTTGTTGTTGTTGATGATGATAATGATGATGATGCTGTTGGTTATTGATTCGTTTATTATTTCTAAATTTACATTCACAATCAAAATTTTGACATGGTAATGTTGTTGATGATATCGATGATGATGATGATGAACTTGATGATGAAAAAGAAGAAGCACGAAAAGACGGACTAGGTAATGATGTGGACGGTTGTTTATCTTGTTGTTGTGAATGATGACGAGATCTAAGTTCGGTTTCCTGTGTTATTGTTATAGGCTGATGATTTGGTTGTGTTGTAGATATTGTTGATGATGGATATCCCAGATAATTGGCTGTTACATTATTATTATTATTATTATTATTATTATATGGACCTTGTGGCACCTGTAATGATGATGGATGTTGTTGTTGTTGTGATAATAAATCCATTGGTATTAATGATGATCGTCGTCGTTGTTGTTGTTGTACAACATCCAATGTATTACCATAAGATGTTGGACGAATAGCTGCAGATGCAATAGCTGATGCAACATTATATGTTGTTGATAAACGGCTACTACGACGACTACGTCGTTGACCATTTCCACCACCACCATGATGACCACCACCACCTGATCCATATAGATCTTCTTCCGCAAGACGACATGCTTCAGCATAAGCTGCTTCTTCAGCTGCTGTTGCAATTTCTTCTTCTTCAGCTTTTTTCTGTAATTCATCATAACTCATTGCAACAATAGCCAAAATTAAATTCACAGAATAAAATGAACCTAAAAATATGACAACAAAGAAAAAACTAACATGCCATAAACCGGTAACACGAATAATTGCACGATATAATGTTTCCCATGAATCTTGTGTCATTAAACGAAATGATGCTAATAATGCCCAACCAAATGTATCAAAATTTGTATAACCATAATTTGGATTATCACCAAAACCTTGTAAACAAGTATAATCGGCTGGACATTGTCTGTTTGTTTAGAAAAAAAAATATTTGAATTTTATAAGGAAAATAAAAATGTTGAAAATAAAAATTGATAAAAATTTAATTCCCAAATTTTCTGACAAACTTACTGTGAACTGTTACCACATAAATATGGAGGTGAATCAGGTGTTTTATAATACCAATTTGTACTATTACTACACCATGAATTCCATTCAATATCGGTAAGATTTCTATCATTATTACGTATACATTTTTGTGTCAATACACCCATATAAACTTGTAAACCAAGTAATGCAAATACCGATAATGAAAAACATAATAATATAACAACATCTTTAAGATTTTTAACCGATTCAATAACAGCACCAACAATTGTTTTCATACCCGGTATAATAGCAACAGTTTTTAATGCACGTAATACTCTGAATGTACGAACAGCACTTAAATTACCAAGATCGGTTGCACCCATTGTTAAATAGGCTAACATTATAACAGCAAAATCTAACCAATTCCATGGATCACGTAGATAAGTAAATCGTGATAATATAAAACCACGTGCAGCTACTTTTAAACATGATTCAAATGTATAAATTGTTGTGAATATTATTCTGATAATGGATATTTGATTTTTTGGAAAATTTTAAAATTATTAATCATAATTTTTTCAATTGAAACAATCAAACAAACTGTAAACTTACTCGGTGCGTTCAATCGATTCTTCAGGTGGTAATGTCATCAATATACAATTAATCAATATTGTTACAATGACAAGAAAACTGAATAAAGGATGTACAAGCATATAAATGGCAACACGACGTATAGGATGGAATGGTGATAATATAAACAATGATTTTGTTGCACTAAAACGAAATATATCTTTACTTTTGCTGATCACAGTAAATGTCTTTTTGTTTTTGATTTGTTTTTTTTGCAGAATTGATTCAAATGAAAGAATATTAATAAAAAATAAGAAAAAACAAATAACAACAACAACACTTAAATTAATTAGTTAATTATTTACCAATTTATTTTGATAATAATGATCAATATCTTCGATCGGTGTGGCTATTAATTCCGGTGGAAAGACACGTTGTAATCCTCTTGGTAATGGTAGGCCAGCTTCCAACATTGGATCCGGTTCGGATATTTCTTGATGATGAGCATGATGTGTATAGATTGTGGTTGTATCACCCTATATCCAGTTTTATAATTATTATTTGATTTTTTTTCAAAAAAAAACCTTTTTTTACCTCTTTTTGTGCTTTACGTAATTTTTCTTCAATAATTCTTTCCTTAATAGCGGCCAATGATTCACGTGTAAATGGTCGAAATACATATTGTTGTTGTTGTTGTTGCTGTTGTAAACCTTTCTGTGTAAAACCACCAGGACTTTTTCCATTTGTATCCGATTGTTGTTGTTGTTGTTGTTGTTGGCCATAACTATGTAAAAATGATAATCGTCTATCATGTGCACTTTCATGTGAACGTTGTGAATATGCAGAATGTTTTCTATTTCCACTTGTTTGTTGTTGTTGTTGTTGTTTATTAGAATTCGATGATTCATGATGATCATTTTGGCCAACATTTGTAACTGATAAAAATTGATTAGGATTTTGGCTATTATGGATATTATTATCATTGGCTATTGTTGTTGTTGCTGCTGTTGTTGTTGATGTTTGTTGCTGTTGATTATTATTATTATTATTATTATTTGGATTATCGTTTTGATTATTATTATTGTCCAAGTTATTTATAAGTCGGACGGACATATTTAACTTGACAATTAAAAAAATTTCGAAAAAATTTCTTTCTTTTTTCGTTATTATTATGATCTTGATTGACAATATAATCGTCATTCAAATGAAAAAAAAATGTTCAGAATTTATCGAATCATCGAATTATTAATCAATTATAATTGAGATGAAAAGATAGAAACAGTGTGTGAAAAAAAATTCAAATGATATCGATGAGCTTTGATTGAAAAATTTTTGTTTGATGATTTTCTTTTTGTTTGATGGACATTTTTTTGATCATTGTTGTTCGTTGTCAACATCTTTTCATCAATGATTGATGAAAAATTGATTGATTGATTTATTTCAATAATGATAATTGATATTCAAATAATAATTTCATTGATTTCCAATAATAATAATAATCATAAATAATAGACATTTGTTTGTCCATAACAATGTATATCATTTTTTTGCTTTGTTTTGTTTTGAGATGAGATTTGAGTAAAGAAAATTCTTTAAAGAAGAAATTCTTGTTTGTTGTTTTTTTTGTTCAATAAGCTCAATGATTAGAAAAAAAAGAATTCATAATTGATAATTTCACTGTTATGATAATAGTTTTCTTATGTCGAACAAAATTAAGTCATTAGTCGGTCCATTCTGAATTTCAATCTAAAAATAAGAAAAGAATAGAAAATTAAAATGTTTGTCAAAGTTTTTGCTTTTGTTATTATGTTTTTTGCTAAATAAACATTCGAAAAAATATTTGATAATTCTTTGAATTTTCTTACCTGATTCTTACCTGTATAATCATATCGTTATTTATTTAAAAAAAAAATTGAAAACAACAACAAAAACAACAAAACTAAATGATAACCGAATCGTTTTCACTTTTTGTTGAGTGAAAACCGTAAGAAAGAAAAAACCATATGAATCCGAACAAACCAACAAAAGTAAAAACTATAATGGTAACTTCTTCATGTTTTTTATCGATTTTTTTTCGCTGGTATTTCACCATTCACATTTTTTTCCCCCAGACCAAATTGTCTATTTCTACATTGATAACAATACACTTGTGATGATATAGTTGTTTTACTGATATATTATCATTTTTTTTGTTTTTCTTGGATTTTGTCCGATTTTTCTATTATTTGGATCGTTGTTTTTTTTATACTGAATTCATGGTTGGCCTAGGCAACCATTATAGACCACAACAGACAGACACACAAAAAAAAATTTACACTAAGACAATTATGGTTACCACAAAGATAAACGTAAAAAAACAATGAAAAAAAAGATAGTGGAAAATTGAAGAAAATGAAAATATTCGATCAGATTCAAATGACACAAGGAATTGACGAAAGGAAAGAAAATAAAAGTTTTGTTTGTTTATTTGAATGAAATGTTCATCGAACCGAATGATTTTTTTTTTTTGAAAAAAAAACAAAAACAAAATCATTTTTGGTTGAAAATTTTGGAAATATTTCGATTGAATTTGTTTTTCGGTAATCAACTAACAAAAAAAAAATTAACTGAATGAATCATCATTCGGAATAACGGATTCGATGAACTAAGGAAAGGAATTTTAAAATAAGAATTTGTTGGTAACATTGATTGTAATCATTCAAATGAAATGAATCATTGTTTCTGGAGCCAAAAAAACAAGAAAAAAACAACAAAGTGGCAAAACGATTTTTTTTGACTTGAGATTTGTTTTCATATTTGCAAATATCCAATTTTGATTTGATCTGGTTTATCATCTTTTATCTCTCCTTTTTCCTATTCAAATGGAATGTTTTCGAAGAAAAAAAACGCTAAAGAAAACTCAAATTAGAATAAAGAAGAAAAAAAGAAAATCTTGAATAGAAAATGGATCCACAGCCCGCAGACAACGATGATGACAATGAAAATTAATAGTGACGCCAAAGAATTTCATTCATTCATTCAAAGAAAAACTAAAAACAAAAAACAGTGAAAAAAATTTTGAGAACAAAAAAAAAATTTACCAAAAGAATAGTCAGTCTTTTTTTCTCTTGTTTCGAAATTGACGATTAAATGAATGTGAATGCATTTCAAGCCAGAAAATTCAACGAACCGAATTGATTTAATTTGAACATCATCATAATCATCATCATCAGACAAAAAACGAACGATGCTAATGTTTTATCAGATAAATTAGTGAGCAAAATTAATTGTTATTAAATTAGCTGATTTATATATTGACTTTACAAGGTGGAAATGGCTGTCATTCATTTATTTTTTATTAGTGATATGGGAAATAATCGATTGATTGATTGATTTGGTTGGTTGGTTTATTTTTATCTCATATTTTTTTCGTCATTCATTCATTTATATTCTTCCACCATCAACACAACACTATCAATGGGAAAAAAATGTTCCAGGAATGGAAAATAAAAGAGTCAATAAATCAATTTTTTTTCTTCATTCAATGAATAAATACCGGATCAAACCCAGAACTATAGTAGAAATGTTTGTTTTCTTTTTCTTTTCTCTTTTGAGGGATTCAATTCAATTCAACTTTCGTTTATTCACATATTAAACGATGATGATGATGATATCAAATGAATTATATCTTTATCCATTTTTTTTGTTGATGAATTTTCAAGAATTCTGGTCATGGTCATCATCATCATCCATTTATTCAAGTCTCATTTATTATCCGGTTTTTTTGTGGGGGGTAATATTCTATAATATGTTTGACAATACAATAACTCTTTCGTTGTTTTGGATGATGATGGCGAATTTTTTTTTGGTCCATATTGTCATTGCATTGTCAAAATTTCAATTCAAATGAAATGATCATTTATCAAACCAACAAACAAACGAAAAAAAGGAAAACTACAGTGTTTTTTTTCGAATTGAATTTTCATTTTTCTTGAATTCTGATGTTGGTTATGATGATGATGATGACCATTGTTTTTTAAAGAATTTTTCGAATCCAATTAGAAATCGAATGTTTATCTTTTTGGTCAAAAAAAATGTTTCGTTCATAAATCTCGTGACATTATGTTATCACATTTTGATCAAACAAAAGTGAAATTGGATCGACCAAAAACCAAAAACAAAAATTGGTGAAAAACAAAAATTATCAAAATACAAATATAAACACAATCAATTTATGATGATAATGATGATTTGGATGGTGGAAAAAATTGGTGAAAAAACAAAACAAAACAAATTATGATATAACGTGAGTAAATAATGTTTCTATTCTTGTAAAAAAACAAATATAATATTCTGTGGTCAAGCAAGATAAAATATCATTTACAATGAGATGACCTTGATCATTTTTGTTTTGTTTTGCTATTTTAATTTGATTTGAATTCGATTTCGATATTTGATTTGTAAATAGATGATAATTGTCATGTGATTTTTAATTTTTTGATTCTCTCTCGCTTTCTCGGAAAGAAACACTCATGAATTTGACCGAAATTCTTTCAACAGACAGTGAAAGAATCATGGATTTTGGCAAAATATGACAATGAACTTTGGGTGTGTCGAATAATATTTTTGGTTATAAACACGAATCAATTCTTGAAAATTACAAATTAATAAACACAACAGCAAAATAATGATATTCAAGAATTGAAAATTACAAAAAAAAAACAAGTAAAGAATTTCGAATAAATTAAAACAGAATAAACTATTATGACCAAATAAGATCTTTTTTAGTTAAAATGGATGATGAATCCGGTTGTGTTCGAAATTTCGAACGAATTTAAAAACTTACTCAGAAATTATTGTTGTTGTTGTTGAAATTGATTTTGAGTTTGATGTTTATTGATGAATTTCAAGATTTCAAGATTTGTGTTGATTTAATTTGAATCAATTTTATTTATGTAATTGCAATGATATGTTATAATCAATGTGAAATATTAAATTATTTTTAGAAATAAAAAAACAAACAACACAAACACTTTATAAAATGAATGAAACAATAACAACATCTATTGAAATGGACAATTGATGAGGATTCATTATCATCATCACTTGATGATCATCTTGAGATCATTCGAACAAAAATTACCACCGATCAAAAATCACCGAACGTAAATATCGAGATGATGATGATTTAATAACAACAACAAAAAGATAACAAATTATCATGCACATAAAATGAAAATTGTTTTGGTTATCGATCATCATTTATGATTTCATCATTTTATTGACTGTTTGATTGATTGATTAAGTGATTTGGTTCAATTTTTTGTTTTTTGTTTTTCAAAAATATTTGTTTATCACTTATTCTGATAACTAGTTAATCATCATGTTCATGTTGTGATATACATTCTTCAATTCTGTTTTTTTCTTCTTCTTCATTCTTTTCTCGATTGTAATTATTAGTGTGTGTGTGTGTTTGGTTTGGTTTCAGTTTGGTTGGTTTGGAAACCGACGACAATGTTGATGATCGTGGTGGCTAAAACGACCGATCCAATCCAAACAACTAACCGACTTTCTGTGTGTGTGTATAGTTAACTACATAATGTATGTATAATGTTTGGTGTGTGTATGTAGTGCAAAAGTTTTTTTTTTATTTCTTAACCAACAATGAATATCACAGAATTTATATATATGAATTGGTTTGGTTGGTTTTTTTTGGTTGTTGTCAAAATTCAGACAGAATGAGAAGAAAAAAACAACCAGCAACATTGAATGAAGACTAGTTTTTTTTTTTGTTTCTTATGGTTCCAAATTCTACCATAGTTTGGTCATCATCATCATCATCGTCGTAGTTGTTTTATTTCGTCATTCCAAAAATCGAATGTTTAATGGTAATTTTCAATATGGTTATCACCGCCACCACCATCAACCACGGCTACAACCACCACCACCAATATTCTTATTCTTTTTTTTCTCCCAAAAATATTTATCTTTAAACTTTCAGCCAAAAAAATTATTATTATTATTATTATCATCATCATTATCGCTTTCCCACCACCACCACCACCACCACCAACGCAACAACCACCACCAAAAATAAAAAATATGATCGAAATTTATTCTTCAATGAAAAAAAACTAGTTCATTTATTCTTCCCTCTTATTGTTTTTTTTTTCTCTCATATATTTTTGTTTCTTTTGATTTACTAAAAAGGAAACCATTTTGTATATATACACTTGATATTTTTCTTGTTGATGAAAAGTCATTACCTATTTTAACCATAAAGATTTAATCGAAATAATAGTTATTAACATTTCAGACATCAGAATATACGTATGTTTGTATGTTGAAACCAAAAATAAACGCCCTCTCGAATTGGAACAAAATGTGACAAATATGTGTGTTTGATAAAGGGAGAAATGAATGATAAAAATGAAGAAAACATATAAAGAAGTGGTAAGCATAAAAGATACTGAAACAAAAAAAACGATCCAAAAAACCCCCTTCATATAAAAAAAAATCGACCATAAATACGACCAACAAACCAATTTGAAGAAAAAAAAGGACAGGAATTTTTCCCAACAAAGAAAAAAAAATAACAAAATGAATGAATATATGGTAACAACAACAACAATAATAATAATAATAATAACAACAGAAAGAATAAAACAGGCGTCATAAATTGGTTACTAAAAAAAAAAAATCAAGAGATTAATCAAGCAATTGAATGAAACAAATAGTAAAATGCACATGGACAATGAAACACACGCTATTACAATAATATTCAAAATGAGCGATCCAAGTTTTTTTTTTGGTTATTGAATCGGTTGTATGGTTTGGGTTTTTTTTTGCCATATTTTATCATTCATTTTGTCTTGAGATTTTCTTTCTTTCGTTTAGTTTCATCGTTGTTTAGTTTTTTTTATAAATTTTTTTTCAAAAATAATTTTGAATGAAACACTCGATTCGATTCACTTGATTCGAATTCGAATAAAAAAACATTGATCCCGTAAACATTTTGTTTTTGTTTTTACTATTGTTATTTCCGGGAATATTTTTTTTATGATTCGAGGAGAAACAAAAAAAAATTGATTTTGATCATAAAATCAGAATCAAAATATATATTTTTTCTTTTGATTGAAAAACATAGAAACAAAGATAGTATATATAAAAAAAGATTCGATGTTTTGATAATTTGATCATAAAAAATTATTACAATTCAATTACCCAGTTTTGCAAATTTCGAAGATTTTTTTTATGGTCCAAAAACGAACGAAAATGAATCGGAAAGATAATAAAGGTAAAACGAGAAATTAATTCAGACAAAGAATCAATCAATCGATCAATCAATCAATCAGTCTAAATATTTATTAACGGTAAGTATTTAATAATTGTCCGGTTGATTGATTCTTTGGCCATTAGCCATTTCATTGTTCTGTTTACTATTTATTCATTCGTAATGGAAACTTTGATTCAATCAATCAATCAATCAAACGATCCATTAATTTCACCAAGCAAATTCTCGATCAAATTTGTTTGATTTTGTCTTTAAATTTAGAAGAAATTAAAAATAATTTTTTAATCTCAATCATCATCATCATCGTTGTTGTTGATGATAATGATGATGATTGAGATGATCAATTTAATGGTGATGACCAAACAAACAAACAAATTAAGAAGATTGAATGACTATAGTAAATTATTCATTTTTAATGTTTTTTTCTTTCTCTCTCTCTCTCTCTCTATTTTTCACATAGTAATAATCCGGAACGACCAAAAATGAAAAGAAAAAGAGTTTTGAAACATTCATTGGACATGTTTTAGGCGGTTAAAAAACCAATATTAGAAAAAAATTTCATTGTGAAACAAAACAAAAATGAAAATGTTTATATGTAATTCAAACATATTTCGGAGAAACAAAAAAAAAATTATCAACCGTCCTTGAAACAATGTTTTCGGTCAGATTTTCCATGAATACCTGGTGTCGATTACATAGAAATGGAATTATAATTCTTCATCACATTCCTGTTTTTGGCCCAATACAGACACACAACACACACCTACTTACGAAAATCCACTTGAATTATTATCATGATGGATTTTTGTTTTTTTGGATACAAACCCGGCAAATAACCGTAAATATTATTATTATTATTATTTTCTGTTATTCCTCATAGCTGGCATAACGATAAACCAAACTACTACTCAGTAATCATTGATTATGAGATAGACGAACGAAGAAGAAAAAACCTGACAAAGAGGTCGATAGATGGATTGTTTCAACAACAACAGCAAAAGTTTCGTCATTTTTCCATCCACGCTCTCTACAGAATTACAATATTGAGAAGAGAAGAAGAAAAAAAACACCGAAATTCCGGTATACTTATCAACCGTTGTCAAGTTATCATCATCATCATCATCAAGAATAGATTCTGGGACACCTAGAAGAAGAAAAAAAATACCATCAGTTTTCTATATTCAATACAGCACACACACATTGGTGAACAGGTTCAATTCAAGCAAACAAAAAAAATATATATGAAAAACTGGAAGAAGAAAAAATTCAATCTTGAATCATGTATGAATTTGTAGTGTTCCAGGATCGTTTTTGTTTTTGTTTTATTCATTTGCATTTTGAATTTTTTTTTTGGTTGTGTCAACCATCAAGTGATCATCTGAAGACACACAATGGTGTACCACATAATATAGATATGATTGCAAAGATTTTTTTTGTTTTTCAATTTGACTTGTTCGTTGTTGGTTTTTTTAAATGTCTGTTTACGATATATGAATTGAAAATCTTCAGTTGAATAATGTGTGACGGGCGCAAAATCAAAACAACACCACCGAATCGTCAAATAACCAGAAACACAAGAGAGACAAATGACTGGGATAACCGATGATGATTATGATTATTATTCAAATAGGAAAAAATAATTGATAAAACAACTACAACAACAACAGTATACTTTTGGCTCCATAAATAAATTATTTAAAAACATTTTTATTTTTTTTTCTTGTTAAACATATTTATATATAGAGTGAAACAAAAAAAGAAAGAATGCATGCATGTAATAATTGCACATATAGGATTCATATATCACACACACACACAAATGATGATGACCATTTCATTTCATTTCATTTTTTTCGAATGTGATAACCACCAAACAACAACAACGACAAAACAGAATATATCATTGTCATTGGATAATAATGACAATGAAGTGTAGGCGTGTGTAAATATACAAGATTATAAAAAAAAATGTTTATAAACAATTATAATCCATGAATTTTTCGCGATGACCATAGTTGAATGAGTGAGAATGAGAGAGAGTTATAAAGATGGCCACAAAAAAAAATAAAGACATAAATTATTAAAATGGCCAACAGCAATGGTTAGGACAAACAAACAAACAAACAAATAACCGAGATCTTTTTCTTGATGACCAAAGAAAAACAAAAATAACCAACACCAACAAATGGATAATCCGCAGGATGATGAACAATAATTTCATATATAGTGTTTCTTTTGAAAAGGTTGAAGCCATTAGTTTCGCCAATACTGATTAAAACATTGAATGTAGATGACCATCAAATAAAAAAAACAACAAGAAAAATGGTGATAATGATGATAGTTCAAATGGGAAAAAAGATATAAAAATAAAAAATATGAGAAAAAAAAAATTAATTAAAATATGTTCCAAGAAGATAAAAACAAACAAAAAATTTTAGTTTCAAACATACCTGTGTCATTTTATGTAATTGATCAACAACAACTGGCATTATAGATCGAACACTTTGTTCAACCTGTTCAGTTATATAATGAGCAGCTTGTTCATCATTTAATTCTAATTTAAATTTATCCTGTACTTTTTGTACAGTTTTATCCGGTTCCAATGCAATTTCCGGTACATTTGCATCGACCATTAATGAAAATAAATTCAATATTAAATTCGAATGCCGTCGTAAATGTAAAAATGCTGTTCGTACAAATGAACAGAATTTATAAAAATTTTCCGAATCCATTCCACCCATTGCATCGACCATTTCACGTGTAATTTTTATTGGTGGTCGACGAAGTCTTGGATCACGACCCAAAATAAAACCAAAATCAATATGAAATAGACGACCAGTTTTTGTCATAAGTAAATTATCTAAATGACGATCACCAACACCCAACAGATAGGTAATAACACAATAACCGGCTATAGTTGAATGATAAGAAATGAGAAAGATAGGAAAAAACATTTGTAAATCTGATCAAAAAAAAGCATCAATCGAATCTTACCACAGGATTTAATATAGGCATCCATAATTTCAGATGAAATACCCGTTTGATTTATACCAGATGGTGATAATGATGGTGAACTGCTTGTTCCACTTGATTGTGTTGTTCCAGTCGAAACAAGTTGAAAATCATTTACCGATGATGTTGATGTAATTGTTGGTGTTGTATTATGTTGAGAAATTTTACGTAAATAATTATGTATTGATCCTTCATTCGATATAACTTCAGCAACTGATTGTGAATCAATAAATTCAACAAAACCATATTTACTACTACAAGCAAGTACACGATATGGTGTTAATTTAAGATCAAGATTTTCTTTACGTAATAATTTATCCATTAAATTTATCATCTGTAATACCAAATCATCACGACGAAGATCATCACCATTTTTAAATATTGTCCAAAATATTTGACCGTTTGTAGTGATAAAACCAAGTTTAGCTGGCATTGTTGCTGATTTATAAATCATAGCCTCTTTTGCAGCAACACCAATTATTCGAATATTTGGATTCAAAGGCAATGGTAATGGATCATTTTTATTGAAATTAAAACGAAATTGTGGTTCAGGTGATTCAAGAATTGATTGAAGTTTTTCAATCTTTTTCATTCGATTACCACTTTCACGAGCAATTTCTTTCATAATTTCAACAAGTTTAACAACAAAATCCTGTTGACGTAATAGAAAATGACGTCGGGCAATCATTTCGGATGTACCACATAATAAACGTGTACTAAATCTTCGCATCATTATCATATACATGTCCATTACATTTGTTATCGAATATGATCCACTTAATTCATTGACACTCGAAGCCGATGATTTTGATTGTTTTTGTTGTTCATTTTCCCATTCAATGATTGATGGTGGTGGTGGTGGTATAAGATATGAATTAGTAGCAACCGATGACATGACGCTTGGATAAGCTGTAACATTTGTCGATATTGATGATGATGATGATGATGATTTTGGTTCAACAGTACTAGCTGTACTGACAATAGCACTGGTCGAACTTGATCCAAAACTTTTAGCACCTTCACATTCGACACAAAGATACCAGAAAAAATAATTTGCCAATTCATCATTTTGACAAGCACGATTTAATAAATAGGTTGCTAAATCTTCATCATTTTGGGTGCAATTTTGTTTATCACGAGATGGTGATTTTTCTGCCTGCGTTGATTGTCTTGATGGATGATCAACAGTATCGGTGGAAGTTGCAAAAATAGTAGAACTATTTGAAGATGGTGTCGAAGCAAATATTTTCATCGATTCGGGCATTATAGTTTCGGTAGTATTTTCTGAATGTGATTTTCGTTCTCGATGACTTGAATGTTGTTGCTGTTGATGTTGTTGTTGCTTTTGTTGATATCCTAACAATTCATTTTCATAAGCTTGTCGAATTTCCTGAAAATTTTCATATTTTAATGCCTGTACTAATTGAAGAAGATATAAAAGTAGATCTTCATCCGAAGCTTCTTTTAATCGACTAACTGCATATTTACGAACAGTTGGATGAGTAAAATATGGTGATAAAAGTTCAAGTGCATCATCAACATCCATCGGTGACCATTCATTCATTAATTCAATAGCTTGTTCTGCTTCTGAATTTGATTGCCAATTAACAGTTTTTAAAAATTTTGCCAATGCTTTTTTCTGATTACGTAAATAGAAACGAAATTTCCAAAGTAAATCTTGTTCTTCACTAGTTAGTTGTTGTGTAGATGGATAATTAACAATAGCATTCAATTGATTACGTATGGTTGCATTTGGTTTAAGATCACGTAATGAAATACCGGAACGTGCTGAACGTGCTAATGCATGATGTTTAATTTCAACTAAATTCGGTAGATTTATTTCTGGATCCGGTATTGTTACAATATCTTTATCAATAATATCATATTGACAACATTGATCAATTTTATCTTCAAAATAAACGGCCGTATGTTCAATATCATCGATTAATATTATTGGAAATTCAATGGTAAGAAATACATGTGTACTAAGTGATTTTTCTGTTACAGTTTCTTTTTCAATTTCAGCAAATGCTATTCTATCCTGTGATTCTCTTTTTGGCAATTGATTATTGTAATATCTTTTTTTGAGCTGTTTGAAAAAATAATAATAACCAAAAAAAAAAATGAAATTTCAAAATTATGAACGATCAAATATCTACCTTATCTAAACGTTGAATTTTTTTCGATTTATCACCTGTACCGATTGGATAAAGACTTAGATCTTGTTCAAAATATTGTTGAGTAGATGTAAATTCAAGTGATTCTGGATCAAAATCTTTTCTCATCATTTGTTGTCGTAATTTTCGATTTTGATTATTAAAATGAAATAATTGTGCATCTTTTGTATTGCCTAGATTTAAATATTTTCGTAGTTTTGGTATTAGATCATTTTCTGCAATTACTAATTCAGTTTTTCGATGTTTACGATTAGTTAGATTAATATCGGATAAAAGAATATCGGTGGTAATTATATGATTATTTTGTGTGGATAAAGGTGGTTGTTCTGATTGATTTTCCATCATAATTTGACCATTATAATATTCTTTACAATCTTCATTGAAAAATAATCGTAAATCATATAAACCTTTACGCATACAGCCACGTTTACTAAACAATGTTAGACTGGTACGAGCAACAGCAACCGTTTTACCCGGACAAATTGTATCCCAAACAGTAAAACAGATTAATGTATCACGTGGTAATGTATCTAATGTTAATGAAAATACAAGCCATTCGTTCCAACTTGATCCGAAAACAGAATAAGAATTAAAATATAAAAATTATATTCTTTGACAACTGAAAAAAAACACTCACTCATAACGATTAATCATTTGTCGATATTGACTTTGTTGCGGTGGACATAGTCGTCGACCATTCGATATTAGATCACAAGTTATATATGGATGATTTGATAAGGCTCGAAACGGTTGATTTAGATTACCAAAAATAATATCATTCAATTTTTTCTTTTTCTTCTGTTTCTTTTTCAATTCTTTACCATAATCAGAATGATCTTGTTTAGCATTTTGTTCAGAAGTGGCACCTGAAATCGGATGAAGAAAAGATTGTCGAGGATTGATACGATTTTCATCCGATTCGATTCCACTAGTCGTTGCTTCTTCATCAAGTTCATTTCCATTATCATCATCGGAACTGATTAAATTATCAATTAAGGTAAAATTATTCTCATCTTCAACAATATTATATTCATAATGATTATGGACGGTTGTAAAACTATATGATTGTTGTGATTTTGAATCAGAACCATGTGATTGTGATGAATTTTTACTGTTTGGTGGTAGAATACCATCAAGATTTACACTGAATCAGCAACAAAAAAAAAAGTAGGCGTAAATTATTTAAAAAATTTGAAATTTTATTTATCATTTCTTCAAAAAAAAGTTACTCACATTTTTACTCGAAATAAAACATCTTCAATATCACAGGTATAGATATAATTAAATGTAAAGGCTGAATCTTGACGTTGTTGTTGTTGATGGTGGTGATGATATTTTCCCTTATTATTATTATTGTCATTTGATGGATTCATATTCTAATTTTGTCATAAATTATGATCATACAAACGCAGCAGCAGCAATATTGGCAATACAAAACAATGACACACGCCAATAATTTGATTTTTTCACAGGGGAAAAAAAGCAATTTGTTCACATCAAATGACTGTATAATCGTGAAATGAGCGATCGAAAATAACATAAATGGAAAAAAACAAAATGATATCATGAGAAATTTTGAAAGATAAATATGACACGAGAAAACAGAAGTTTTTATTTGTTTTCAAATATTATTTTTGTTTTCGATCTAAATTCAAACAAAAACATTGATTGATTGTGAATGTTGAACAACAAGATTTACATATGTTGATTATTAATCAAAATAAACACAACATAAAAAAAATTAACCAATCGATGGGTTTTTTCCCTCCATTGATAATTGTAAACAACGAATGATCGATGTTGATTATTTTCGCGAAATGAATTATCAAAATGATAGAAAAATAGAACAATAATAATAAAAACTTACCAAACAGATTTTTGATTTATTTTTTCGATAATCATCATCAGTATAAAATTGAATAGGAATTGAAATTAATTATTTTTATAAAATTAAGAAAAAATTTTTTTTCCAAAATAAAACATTTCATTGTATACATATTTCTATTTCCACATGAAAATCCAAAGGATTCAACCAATTACGTGAATATAGTGGATTCTCGTATGACGATCCAACATTTCAACCACGTGTTTGTTTGTGTAAAGTTTAACATTGGATTTTGATTTCGGGATAAAACAAACTTTTTTCTCCGATTTTTTTTCGTTACATTTTTCTCTACTTTATCCAATTGATGATTCACCAATCATGACTCGAATTGCAGCTCGAGCGACCCGTGGTCGTGGGAAAAAATGTCCGAAAGGACAAGCATGTGCATCAAATCCTGAAACAAAAAAACATCGAGCTAAAATTGCTCAATTATTTGGCGTTTCAACATCAGAATCCGGAGATGAACTTGCCAATTCAATGAAACCTAAATTAACGCGTGATATGTTGGAAAAATTTGATGCCATTCAGCAACAAAAGCAACGTAATACGATCGCTAGCGAATCGCAACAACAAATGTCGGCTGTTGAAAATTGGCTTCAAATACCAAAAAATCAAGATGAAAATGATAGTAATAATTCGAAAAGTGAAAATTCCAACAACGAGTCTATGAATACTGATGATAATCAATCCATACCGGATGATGCATTCACCATTGGTAACATATCAGCTGCCAGTATATGGTCAAATTGTACAAATGTTACTTTCGATAAATTTCTCAATGGTTTTGATCCAAAATCCAAGATTCATAAAGCAATGTTAACTGTTTTGGCTACCGTTCGTGATGCAATCGATATGGAAAAAGGAAATGAAACTGAAACTGAATATTTTTCCGGTCTAATGTTAGCATTAGATTGTGTAGATTCTGAAGAGAAATTAACCGCTACATTAGCATTACTTCAGATGGTTTTAAAACGTGTTCAAACACCCGTTCTTCGGTTGAAATTTTCCGAAACATCTACAGCATTGATGAAAATTTTATCACAACAAATTAATGTGGCTAATCCTAATAGCTATCTAACTAAATCGGTAATCAATGCTTTACATACACTGTTACGAAATCAAGAACTTGTTGTATGGCAACTTAAATCAACTCAACAAATATTCGAAACAATTCTTATGTTTGTAACTCATCAAAAGCCTCGAATTCGTAAGGCAGCTTGTTTTGCTGTCATATCATTAGTTTGTGGTAATAATATTGAATCAATGAATGCAAATCAAGGTTCACCGATCGCTGCGAAATTGACCGCCGAATTTTGCATACGAAAACTTGATCAAAATTTATCAACAACAAATGATGAACATTTGAATATTATTCTTTATATTCTAACATTATTATCCGACACAATGTCCATGTTTCCATCGGTTCAACATACTAAACATCTAGCCGAATCAATCCTTTCACATATGACTTTAGGTAATATTCTATTGGTTACAGGTGCTTTGCATACATTGTATTCATTCTTTCTTCTTCGACCAACGGCTAATGTTTTGAGTGCCGAATTAAATGCACGTCTATTGAATGCTTTGTATGATTATCAACCGAATATTAATGATGAACAACCATTAAACGCTTGGTGTGTTGCTATGAAAGAAGCTTTACTTTGTCTTCATAATCTTGATCGAAAACTTTTTTCTTCACATGCACCGAAATTGTTTCGAACTTTTATTACCATTTTGCAAAGCGACAGTTCTTCCGTTCATTCAAATGTTGTCAATTCAATTAAATCATTAATGAAAACGATCATTGAAGATTCAAATAGTTCGATGGATTTATTGGAAAAATTATATGATGAATTGGAAAATGGATTAAAATATCAATTTAGTCATGTATGGACACAATTTATGCCAATTTTCGGTGAAGTTTTTATCGTTACTAAAGAAACTAAATTATTATCTAAAATGGGTGCAATCATACAACGTATGGCCATTATTTATGAATCAAATGATGCTGATGTAAATGATGTTTTGGAAAAGGTTTTTGCCAAAATTATCTCATCACATGGTCCACGATTTGTATTACAATATTGTCCGATTATTTGGAAAACATCAACATCATCATTGATGAGTGAATATAATGAATTTTGTGGAGAATTTACTAATCCATGGCTTATTTCATTGTTACGTGAAAACATTGATGCTCAATCGGAATTATCTTTATTTGTTGATCATTTTCTACCTATGGTTGATGAGTTAATGAAAAAAGTTTTGCTATGTCAAAAACTAACACAAAAATTGAAAGAAACAGCCAAGAACCGTATGCAAATCGATGATGATCAATCAACAAATCGATCCTATGATTCTTGTCTGGTAATGATAAAGGAATTGAAACGATGTGTTCATGCTATTTGGTCATTATTACCGGCATTATGTCGAAATCCTATCGATGTAAAGGAAACGTTCCCGAAAATTGCTAAACGTATTGGAGAAAATCTGTACAACAAAGAATTAGCCATCTATTCTTTAGCTGCTCTTCGTAATCTATTCAAATGTGATCATTCAACTCAATGTATTGTTGGTTCATTTGGGAAAAATTTTCTTCCAATTTTATTTAATATTTATACAAATGAAAATGAAAATACCCGTATTGATCAAGATCTTCGTTATCCGGTTTATATAGTAATATCTCATATGATTCGATGTATGTTGGAAAATGAATCCGATGCTTGTCAAACAATGTATCACAATTTTTTCAATAAATTAATCACCATTTTGAAAGAATCTCCTGGTTCAGATTTTCGTCGTATAGCTTTGATTGAAATTGTTGATGCATTTTTATGGACACCTGAAGGTTTAAAAATTAATGAAATTGAATATATTTATGATAAAATAGCTGGCCCATTGATTGATAGCAGTAAATGTCCGGCTGATCAGAAAAAAGGTTTCCGTCTAATTGAACCGATTGTACAAAGCCGATCAAATGTTTGTGAAGAATTTCTTTCGAAACATATGGAAAGCATAATTAATTTGATGATAACATTATTTGAAAATGATAAAATTTTATCACCATCATCAAGAGCATATGCTCTTCGTTTATTGAATTCAATAATTCAACGATTAATTGATGATAATATTCATGGGAAACAAGATGCAATGTCCAATATAAATCTAATAATTTTAATAGAAAATATTGTTCCATCAATATTGAAACAATTAACGATAAAATCATCGAAAACAAAAAAACAAGCAAGAAATATTTTGCTTACAATATCTGAATGTTTTGAAACGCTTAATAACGATAAACAACAAGCAAATGAAAAATTAATCTCGTTGATTATTGATCCAATCGAAAACAATAAAATTACAAATAACAATGATGATCGAACATCACGTTTAGATGCTATTGCATATTTGTTTGTTGAAAAATTTCATCATCCATTGATTGAAGAACGAATCGTTGCTCGTATTGCCGATACAATTTTTTCATGTCTTTCAACCGAAATTCTCGATCACTGTACAAGACCAATGTTGAATATTTGTTTTGAATTTATTCGTCATTTTTTTCTTAAATCAACACCGAATCTTTTTAATTGTTATTTGGAAGTTATTACCTGTGGTATTACAAATCTACCGATGGAACATCGAACTAGATTCCATCAAACTGTTAAAGTTTTATTAACAAAACTTTGTCGCAAATTTGGTTTCGAATTAATCGATAGTATGATATCGGAAGATTATAAAAAAGTAATGAAAAATATACGAAAATTAGAGGAAAGGAAAAAGAAGCAGAAAAAGATGAAAAAACAATCAATGTCCGATGATGATGATGATGATGATCAATCGGATCGAAAAACAACGTAAGTTTTTACATTTTTATTTTGACTTGTTTCAATTGATTTTCTAATTTTTTCAAATTTTCGAAGTCGTTCAAAGAAATCAAGAAAATATCTCGATTTATCCGACGATGATGAAGAAGATGTTGAACGTTTTGTTAATGATGAATTTGATGATGTCGACGACGACGACGATGATGGCGATGGCCGTAGTACTAGAAAAAGTTTCCGTAGCCGTACAAATAAACATTTGGATATTATGTCTCGTCTTTCGAATGTATCGATCAAAAGCTATATTCGTGAATCAATGGATGGTGATCCTATTGATTTACTAAGTTCGAATGCCAAACAAAATGTTTTCTCCAAGATACCGAACAAGTCTAAACAATCAAATAATGGTTCGGCTGACAAATCATCAGATGTTTCAAATAACAATTTACCATACAGTGAAGATGGTCGTCTAAATATTGGTCGATTATTTGATCAATTAGAAGGAAAACGTGGCCAAAAACGATCGGCTGATGATTCAAATATTGATGGTGATGAAGATGATGATGATTCTGATGACGATTCAGATAACAAAACACAATTTACATCAAAATCTTATAAACCAGGTGGTCGTGGTATTCATCGACCTGTAGCATCATCATCATCTGGTCAAAAACCAGGTAATGATAATCGATCAATGGTATCATCAAAACGTTCATCAAAAAAATCCGCCAAATCTAAGAAAAGTTCAATCTTACATGGTGATGTTTATAGATCGAAAAAAGCAGCCGGAGATATGAAACGTAGAGGCTTACCTGATCCTTATGCATATTATCCATTGAATGCAATGTCATTGAATCGACGTAAACATCTCAAACAACGTGGTGAATTGAAAGCGATTGTAAAAAGTGCCAGACAAGGTGCGGCCAAAGGACGTCACATACGAAACAAACGTCATAAAACGCAAAAATAATATATTTTATTTGAATGTTTTTTTTTCTTTTTCAATAAAAAAAATTTAATGATAATTAAAATTTTTCAAAAAAAAAATCTAAAGTTTTAATTTTTTAGCCAAATTAGCCTGTTGAATGATAATCGGTTTGGCTTTTTTCTGTATTTTTTGTAATTCATTTTTTTCTTGTAAACGTTCGAAAAATTTCGTTGATGATTTTAAACTTTTACCATCTTCAAATGCTTCTATTTCGGATTTTCGTTTTGTCGATTTATCCGATACATTTAATTTCATTTTTGATTGAATAAATTTTTGTTTAACACCTTGTTTCTTTTTCTTTAATCGTCGTGCACGTTTCTTGTCTGTTTGTGTTCGTTCACCTTTATCTTGTAAAACTTTTTTGTTTCGTGTACTGAATACTTCTTCGGGTGCTAATAATTTCATATCGCTAACAGAATCTGGAACCACTTCTTCGACTGTTACGGCCGGCAAATTTGTTAGAATCTTAACTTCAGGTACAGGCGGACGTGGTGTGTAATGAAATGCCGATAATGAATCAAGTTTACGAAATAATGAACGAATTTGACGACGTATTTCTTTACGTGTTTCACTTTCTTCGGCTTCACCTACCGAAACAAATGCATCGGTAGCTGTTCCAATTTCCTGTTCTTTTTGTTTTTGTTGTTGTTTAAGATATTCTTGTTCATAAACTTCTGCTAAACCAATTTTACTTTTTTCCGATTCCAACATTATACGACGACGAAATTCAAATGGTTGTTCTTTAGGCTTTACTTTACGTTCAACATCATCGAATACTTTATCTTTGATACGTTGTTTGATTAAACCTTCTAAAGTTGTAGTAGTTTCATCCGTTATTAATGGTGGAGGTCTAGCTACATGATCAAATTGAAGATGTTCTTCGAGTAAACTATTCGATGGCCGTACACCGGCATTAGTTTCACCGGCAAATTGCCAACGAAGATTACTTGGTAGAAGAAGTTCTTGTTCAGCTTTTTTAATCTTTTGCTGTAGCCGTAATTGACTTTTTTCATATTCCGATTTATCTGGATCACCATCAATATTATCAATATCATCATCATTATTGGCTAATGCTTTAAGTTTTTTATTAATTTCATTTTCCTCATCATCATCTTCTTCATCATCATATTCATTCATATCAAAATCTCGCGTATCTAAATCAACATCAGCATCTTCAAAACCATCTTCTTCTTCTTCTTCATCTTCCAGATCCATTGTATTTTGTTTGTCTGTTCCTGGTGGAGGATCGAAAAAATCTGAATACATCATTTCATCGTTATCATTATCATCATCATCATCTTCATCATCATCATCAGATGGAAATTCATACAAATGATCAATTTGTTCAATGTCATCATCCGCATTGTTATTGTTGTCTTGTTGCATTTCTTTTTCATCTTGTTCATCAAGAAATCTTTCCATTTCTTCATGATTGAAAAAATCAAATTTATTAACAGTAGATTTTACTTCTTTAATTTTTGTCGTCGGTTTTTCCAGTTTAAATTTTACATGTTTCTTTTCTTTTTGAATTGTGATTGGTTTTTCAATCACATTATCCGTTGATTTTAAAATCGGTTTGGTAATATTATCTTTATTCAGATCCTTGTCCAAATTCATATCAATATTTAATGATATTGGCTTTTGACTGGATAATATTTTTGAAATTTCAGTGACCGAATGTTCAATGAATGGTTGATTGAACAGTTCAAGTTGTTGCCAAATTTGTTCATTATCAAATTTATCTACCAAAAGATTATTCAATGGTTTCAATGATTGTTTTTCTTTAGTCGATTTTATTGAAACGTTTAAATCGGACAAAATGTTTTGACCATGATCATATATTGTTTTTGTAATTGTTTTAAATTTCAATGAACTATCTTCATTAGGTCTACACGAAAAAAAAAATTCAAACCAGATTAATTAAAAATAGACAACAAAAATAAAAACTTACAGTAAAAAATTATCAGGATTCGATGATAATTGTTGAAAATTTTCTAAAATTTTAACAAAAATTTCATCTTGAATAACAGGTTCAATTTTTTTAGCCGTGGAATTTACGGCCAAATTAGTTGTTGATTTTCTTTTTGGCAACTTCATCGTTTTTTTGAATTCAAAATTGAAAAATTGCACAAAATTCCAACAATCCAAACATGTGAGAAATGTTTACGAAAACATTATGCATATCGAGCTGAGAAATTTCTTCGAACATTCATGAATAATTGTTTGGCTAAAATTTTAATTTTATTTTAATTTTTTGTTTTTAAATTATTAAATCATCGTTTTTAATTCCTTTAAGAATCAAATACGTATTTTTATTCTTTAAAAATATGGCATCAAATAATGAAAATTTAGACAAATCTTTGGACAATTCAAATTCAGAATCGATTGGTAAAACTCAAAATGAACAAAATTTTACTGACAATAAACATTCGAATGTTGAAAGATCATCATCATCATCGTCTCAACAACAACAACATACGGACAAAAAGAAACGTTTATTCTCTAAAGAACTTCGTTGTATGATGTATGGATTTGGTGATGATCAAAATCCTTATACCGAAACGGTCGATATGCTTGAGGATCTTGTCATTTCATTCATTGGACATATTGCACTTGAAGCATTAGAAATTGGCCGTACTGGTCGTGTTACTGTTGAAGATGTAATGTATCTTGTACGACGTGATCAACGGAAATATGCTCGTGTTAAGGATTTATTATCAATGAATGAAGAATTGAAACGTGCACGAAAAGCATTCGATGAAGTTGAATATGTTCAAAAAAAGAAAAAATTATCAAATAAAATGAATACTTCTGGAACTAGCAGCAACAACAGCAGCAGTAATAACACTTTCAAATCTTTAGGACCATTGAATACAACTTGTGGTCAGAATTCGGATAAATTAATTTGATAAAATAAATGATGTGTGTGTGTGTAAATTATAAACTTTGATTTTAATCAATTTTGTACAAAGAAAATTTTAGCTTTGAAAATTTTATCGATTAAATACAAAACAAGAAAATATTTTTGTTTTCTTCTCATTTTAGTAAAATAAAACCATTGCGGCCATAATCAAACAACATGCAGCAACCCAAGGACTTTTTCGTTCACCAATACGAGCACATTTCCAAAATGTACCAAGAAATCCAGTTTTCCTACGATCCAACAAACTTGTTAATGATCGAATATATGTACATGTACATATTAATAATAATATAACAACCAAAAGACTTTGAAAATTAAAAATGGCTGACATTTTTTACGAAAACAAAAAGAGATCGGAAAACTCTAAAAAAAAAAATTAAAAAACAAACACTTGGAAAAAGTAAAACTATTTTGACATTTTGGTATTGTCATCAACCTTTTGTATATATACTCGATGTAAAAATAGTCGAATACATTTGATGATGATCATTTTCGGTTGATATTCATTATTATTATCATCATCATAATCAACCTGGGTTAATTTTTTCATCTGGAAATCATTCAACCAACCGATTACCTTTCAAAAAAAACTTGATTTTCTTTTTTTTGTTGTCCCACTTTTATTGTCATCAAGCTAATAACAATGAACATTTTTATTGGCCTAATCTAATTCGAAAACAAACAGAAAATTGTTATATATTTTTTTCCATTGGATTTTTTTTGTCCGCTCATCATCGTTGTTAATATCTTGAAATAAATTATGGTAAGCATTCATTTAGAAACAAAAGTGGGAGTTTTATCAATCATTGTTTTTGTTGTTGTTTCTTTTCCATTGATCAATAAAGAGAATCAACTATTGACATCAATCATATTGTGAAAACAATTTTTTTTTTCTTTTTGAGTATTCAAATAAAATAAATAACATTGTGACCGAAACAAATCAAAAAAAAATGGATGATTATGAACGTATTTTATTAGTAAAACCGGATGTTCATGTGTATAAAATTCCACCACGTGTATCGAATCGTGCCTATCGGTAAATATTGATTTTTTTGTTTTGTTTTGAAAATTTTGAAAAACTTTTTTGTTTTGAATTCAGTGCATCCGATTGGAATCTAGATGCACCTGATTGGAATTGTCGTTTACGATTGATTGCCAAAGGTGATGAATGTTTTATTAAATTGGATGAAAAATCTACTGGGCAATTTTTTGGCAAATGTCCAGTAGATAAATATCCCGGTATGTCTATTGAACCAGTATCGGATTCATCACGTTATTTTGTATTACGTTTGGTCAATGAACAAACTAATCGTACGGCATTTGTCGGTATCGGTTTCATTGATCGTAGTGATAGTTTTGATTTAAATGTTGCACTTCAGGATCATTTCAAGTAAGTATTTTTTAACATTTCTGTTTTTGTTTCTATTAATAAATTTGTTTTTCAAAAAAACATTCAAGAATCGTTCAAATGGAACATAAAAATGATGAAATTGAAGATAATGGACCACAATTGGATCTAAAATTTAAAGAAGGTGAAACAATTAAAGTTAATCTTAATATTGGTGTAAGTTTTCAATTCAAGAATCTCATTCAATTTGATTATTAATGGAATTTTTATCTAATGTTTACTATAGAATAAAATTGGTTCGGCTAAACCACGACCAAAATCATCGAATAAAGCTGGTGATGCCGGTGGATTCGGTATATTATTACCACCACCACCTGGTTCCAAAACGATCTCTTCCAACAATCCTTCATCAAATGAAACAAAAACAACTATTGATAATTTGGAATCATTATCCGAATCGAATCTATTAGATGATATTGATTCATTACATATTTCTAATTCGGGTAATAATGTTGGTGATAAAAATGAAAATTTATCTTGTACAATGGTGCTCAATAATAAACAATCTGTTGATGAAATGGATCAAATGTTTAAATTTGTGCCTAAAGATTCGGATGGTGTTGATCTTTTTGCCGATAATAATTCAACAAAAACAGCAACCACATCATCAAAATTATCGACAAATGATTTATGGTCAAATTTTACATCGTGCAATACTTCTAATACAACTACTAATAATCCTATTACTAGCCAATCGAAAACAATAACCGAAACATTTATGTCATCGACAAATGATGATAATGATTCAATAACAGCTAATCAATTTGATGATTGGGCTAAATTTTAATCAAATTATTGTAACGATATTCCTCCCTTGATAACGGGAGAAACAGAAACCTAAAAAGAATTTGTTGAAAGAAATCATTTTTTGTTTCTCAAAATATCAATATTATTAATTTTCAATTTAATTAACTAATTTCACATTATTTTATTTTCATCACTCCGAGTGTGTTTTTCTCCAATTCATCATAGAGAATTGATTATCTTAATTTTTAATTTTTCTCCCACCCCTTCCAATCGATAACTTATTTTCAAAAAAAAATGAAGAATTCCTATAGAAATTTCGAATAAAGTTTTTGAACAAAAAAAAAAAAAAAAATGATTTGAAATAGAAACAAAATTGGCACACAGTTACAGATGTACCCAAAAAATGCAATAAAAACAAAAAAAAGA